AAAAAAAAAAAAAAAATTAAAAATAATCTCAATCTCTTCGTCATCTATCATGATGCTGCCAATTGTCCCAGTGGTGAAAATCTTTGTTTTGTTAATGTTGAGCTTCAGATCATACTGAAGACTACAGTCTTTGACCTTCTGCAGCAAATGCCTGAGGCCCTCCTCAGTTTTAACAAGCAAAGTTGTGTCATCTGCATAACACAGGTTTTTGATGAGTCTTCCTCCAATACTGATGCCACATTCTTCCTCATAGACCCCAGCCTCCCGATGATCTGTTGTGTACACCCTTCCCGATTTTGAACCATGCAGTGTTTCTTTGTTCTGTTCTGATGACTGCCTCCTGGTTTGAGTATAGATTTCACATAAACACAATTAAGTGTTCTGGGATTTCCATGCTTCTCAGAGTTAGTCACAGTTTGTTGTGATCCACACAGTTAAATGCCTTTGCATAGTAAAAAAAAAAATACAGATAGACATTTTTCTGCTACTCTCTGCTTTCAGCCAAGATGTAGAGAAGAAAATAAATAAATGATGAAATAACAAAGTTGAACAGAACATTTCAAAAGGGAGCTTGAGAAGACTAAAAAAAGTATCACAGTGAGTTGTGCAGAAACTTGAAGTTAAAAAACAAAAGCAGAAGAGGCTGCTTGCTATTTCTCTAGCTGAAAGAATTGAAGAACCAGCTCAAGCCATGTGTTGCAATGCTTAAAGATTCTATGGGGAAAATACTGAAAGATACAGATGCTTCTCTGAAAGATATCCAGAGAAGATGGAATATACAGTATCCCTGTATCAACAATATTCAGTCTCTTACATAGTAGGTTCCTATGAGTTGAAATTGAATGGATGGCACCTAACAACAATAAATGTGACAGTGAATTGTGAGTTAAGTGCTTGGCTATTAACCAAAAGTTAACCAGTTCAAGCCTACCAGCACCTTCCTGGCAGAGAGATAGAGCTGCCAGCTTAGTAAAGGCTGTATAGCCTTGGAAGCCCTATGGGGAAGTTCATAGAGTTTCCTGCCCTGCAGAGAGTGCTCTGAGACAGACTCGACTTGATGGGAATGATTTTAAGGTTTGTAAGACGAGTCAAATAGGAAGACATATTTGAGTTGAATGTGCTAAAATAGTATAAGGAAGGGTTACCATTACAAAGGTAGGATGAAGACAATTTCAGAGGGTCTAAAAAGCCATGCTCAGACTAATCCATGTCAGTTTGGTGTAAGAGAATAAAAAATATAATATGGAAAGCTTTTTCACCTGGCTGGTTTTGTTTTCAGAAAGTAATTGTTAAAGTTTAATATTTGTTTAAAAACCTGTAATCTTTTTCCATGGTCTTACTGTGTTGTTTTCCCTAATGGGTCCTCAATGCTGAAGAGTTGAATCAAACTCATAGCAACTTTCCATTGGGCTTCCAAGGCTTTAATTCTTTACAGAGGAGTCTAGTTATCTTTTCCTTGTAGGTGAATTGAAACCACCAGTTTTTAGGTTACCAGCCTGACACCTGATGTGGTATGCTACCAGGCTAGTTAATAACCTATTAGCATGATTTGTTTTACTTCATGTATTCCTTCCTTTTTTAATTTTAAACTTAAACGTCCTTCTAACCAACCAAATAACTAAGTTCCTTGAACCTATGGGAAGAGATCCTTAAACTATATATAAGTATTTCATATGGGAAAAGTAATTCTTTTTGTTGTTATTCTCTTGAGCAGAAACCAGGAAAAAGTCACGTGCTCAAGATATGCTCACATCCTTTCATTATTTGGATAATTACTTTATTAAACCTCGCCTAGAGAACTTAGTCACTAGAAGTCGTTGGAAAACACAATATAAGGTATTCATTTTTGTTTTGTTTAGTTGTTGTTTTTTGATTTGGTTTTTTTTTTTTTTTTTTCATTTTCGGGATGGGAAATAAAGTTGGGCATGGTAGAGAGGAGATTTCTCAGTACTTCATGTCCCAGTTCGACTGAACCCTCTTCTAAGTAATTCACATTTATCTTTGTTAAATAATTATTGTTTTTAAGCTATTATTAATTCTGTAATTCTCACTAGCTGTATTTAGTCCAGTAATTGATAAATAATTTTAGAACCATTCTAGAACTTAGCCATCTTTTAAATGAGAGTATTTGCTATGGCTTGAGAGAAGTCACCAAAACAGTTATTAAATGAAGATAATTAAGCTATCTCTGATTCATTTATCCAGTGCCAGAGAATGTTGTTTCAGTAAAGAATTCCATATAGCTAAAGATGTTTGAAAAACATGAGGTTTAGCTTAATAGTGTCTGACCTGGAGGCTTTTCAGGAGCACACATTTATACTGTGAATAGAGAAACAGGTCTCAAATTTAGTATATTCCAAATTTATTTTTCCTATTTTGTAGTTTACAAATTTGTATTTGAAGTTCCTTTTCAGCAGAAAATTCGTTGTTATCTCCCATGATGCTTGATTTCCATAAAACAAAGCTTAGGAAACAAATTTTTAATTCTATTGTTTTGATTATGCCCCTGTTTAACTTGTAAAATCTGTTTGATTCTATGTTATCTGCTACATTTATTGTATTTTGTGATCTATTAACAGTAGAGACTGTACTAGATTGTTTTTAAAAAACCAATCCTCCCTGCTTTTGATGGTCTACATTCTAGAGATTAATAAGAACAACAATAAAATGTCTCTCAAGTTTCTGGAGATTTTTCAGTCAGTCATTTAAATCACTAACGACTCTCATATATATCATGTGAGGAGCTTGGTTTTTATGCAAGACCTGTTCCACTTTGAATTACCTGCTGATAATAACTTCTTGTTATGTTCCATTGAATCGCCTGTGACTCACAGCGACTCTGCACAACGGCTCTGAACCTTGTGCCCTATCATGAGCCAGTCTCACTGTCTCTAACACATTTGCCCCCATAACCTCAGTTACTGTATCAATCCACATCATCCAGAGTCTTTCTCTTCTGTGCCGTCGCTCCACCCTTCCAAGCCTGATGTCCTTCTCCAGTGACTTGTCCCCCCTGGTAACATGCCCAAAATATGTGAGGTAGAGTTTAAAAATCCTTGCCTCCAGGGAGCAAACTGGTTTCACCCTCTCCAGGATAGAACTGTTTGTTCTCTTTGTAGTCCATGATATGTTGAATATTCTTCTCTAGCACCACAACTCAAAGGCATTGATTTTTCATCTTTTATGCATCAATTCTTCTATCATCTGAGCTAATAATTAAAGGATAATCTGGGATTTCAGAAGGAGGTAGGTTTCAAGGTGGATGATGGTCTGAGTTTAATACCTTCATAGAGTGACTTGTCATTAAAACTGTTATTGTTGTTGTTATTGTTATGTGCCATCAAGTCACCCACAACTCATAGCGACCCTATGTACATCATCTCTTGAACCCTGCCCCATCCTGAGCCAGTCTTACTGCCTTCGACACTTTTGCACCCATTACCCCAGTTACAGTATCAATCCATCTCATCCAGAGTCTTCCCCTCCTGCACTATCCCTCCACCCTTCTGAGAATGATGTCCTTCTCCAAGGAATGGTCCCTCCTGGTCAAAGTATGTGAGTCAGAGCTTCATAGTCCTAGCCTCCAAGGAGAAACCTGGTTTCACCCTCTCCAAGACAAGATAGACCTGTTATATGTTCAATACTCTTCTCTAGCACCACAGCTCAAAGGCATCAATTCTTCTTCTGTCATGTTTAGTCATTGTCCAGCTCTCAGATGCATAGCAAGTACTTGGAGAGACCATGGCCTGAATCAGGTGCACCTAACTTTCTAGACTGACATTGTTGCTTCTTGGTACTCTGAAGAGATTCCTGACCTAAATATGCCACAAGATAAAGGTGAATAATCCAATTGAAAAATGGGCACAAGATATGAACAGACACTTCACCAAGGAAGACATTCAGATGGCTAACAAGCACATCAAGAAATGTTCAAAATCCCTAGCTCTGAGAGAGATACAAATCAAGACAACTATGAGAATGTCATCTCACCCCAGTAAGACTAGCAAAATTTATCAGAACAGCAAGCAACAAATGCTGGTGAGGTTGTGGAGAGACTGGAACCCTTATTCAC